CGCCATTTGTTTTTTAAATTCTTCTTATTTGTTTTAATGACATTGATTGCATCGATTATTACCTTTTCCAAAAAAAAAAAAATTGGAAAAAAAAAATGTTACCCTCGACCCTCGACATGGTACCCTCGCCCTCGACATGGAACCCTCGACCCCTGACCCTCGACAAAAAGATAGACTCGGCATGTACGTTCGGTCTTTTCCGGGATTGTTATGTCATCTATTTAGACTATTTCCCGGAAAAACAGATAACGTAACGTAATTCTCGGAAAGACCGAGCATGTATGCCTGTTGAGATACATACAGAGAAATATGACTCCGAGATCCCGACTCGAGACGCGTCTAGTCATTTTGAAAACATTACTTAAGTTCAGACCTGATGTTTTTATCTTTCCGGTATTTGAAACAATCAATTCATTATTATAGCAAAACAAATTGCACAGGAACAGTGATAAAAAACCCCAGTCATGAATGATTCAGTCTTCTTCCTGTACTGGGAAAGTCACGTATGCATAGGACCAGGGTGAAAAGCACCAAGTATTTGTACAAAGGTTTTCCCTGCTAGCAGAGGTCTCTCACGACGAGGCAAAAATGAGAGACCTCTGCTAGCAGGGAAACAAAGGTTGTCCAATGTCTTGTTCCTAGCCTTGACATATCTCTTTGCGCGGTTGTCTAAAAAAATGCTAGCTATGGTCTAGCCTATCTGGGCTTGGGTTTAACCTGTCTTGCGACTAATCAGGTCGTTGCAGGTTGCGAAAAGTTGTCGCAGAAAGTAGAAAGCAGTTTTACTTTTTGCAAAAAATTTTTTATGTTTTACCAGTTCAAGTCAAACTTGTTTTGCAGAAAATGACGTAACTCCCGTGCATGGCGTGACTCCCGCGTAATGTTGTCCAGTCAGAAGTCAGTATTAACAACGCGCAACATCGCTTTTTAGCTCGTTTTGCAGCAATGTTTCGAAACAAGTTCCACTCTTTTGTTGCCTGTTTTACCGAAGCTTTAGTCTTTGTTAAAAAGTTTGCACAGGAGCGAAAAAAAAAGGGGAAAACAGGGAAAGGGGAGAGGAGAGAAGGAAAACATCAAGTCACGCTCAGTTCGACATACTTGGTTTGATTCAGTCTCCACTGGTTGGTTAACGCTTTAAGCCCCAATATCAACGAACAAATTCTCTACACTGATCTACATATATTTTCCTTAAAATTAGTTAAGAGAATTTGTTAAAAGAACAAAGCATATTCCCTATGATGAGAATTTCATGAATTCTTACAACCTTTTCTTTTGATTATGTAATGATATTGTTAGGAGAAAATTTATGTTGGTCAATGTTGATCACTATTGGGGCTTAAAGGTTTAACAATCAACACTGCCAAACCGCGCCGATAAGACGCTGGATTTGTGAGAGAACGGCGTTTTTCAGAATGCAAGCCTTGCTTTTTTTTCCACTCCCCTCCCCCTCTTTCCCTGTTTCGGTCTCCTTCCCATTTTCTCGACGGACTCAGTCGAAAACGCTTGTTACGTAAGCTAACGTTCCCTACGGCGCCTTCCATTCGATTACAATTCCGGTTTGAAATTTGGGAAATTCTACGTGTTCAATGGAACGGTACATTCCGGTCGCACAGACCTGACCCTGGGGACCGCTCGTTTGATTCGCGCCACATTTTTTGCAAAGTTTCTTTTCTTCTTGCTTGCATAAAAAGTTTGACAATGAATAACACCATGTCATTAAACTAGGCCCCCTTTATAGGTGCGTTTCCTACGTATTATATTTTATATTATCATTTCATCGTCGAGTGGTGCAAAACGAAATGAAAATGTTGTAGAAAGATCGTTTTGATTAGGAATTCCATGTCACTATTTCTTGGAAACCAATGAAAAATAATTTCTTTAACTTAATGTATGTGAAAAATGTTAGCTTGGCTTTATATTGTCCTCGAAAAATTTTGGCCGTCTGGGATCGTTACGTTGTATGGTTCTTTATGGGACACTCGGAGACCAGTTGTCTGAAGTAGGGACAACCCCAGCAATAACGGCCCGGTAAAAGTCTTTCAAGTACAAAAGAACCTAAATCAAGCTCCTTGAAAAAACCCCTGATCTATTACCCAAGAACTCCATGGGTGCCTGGTCCTGTTTGTGTAGGTGAATTACAACTTTATGAAGCCCGACGATATCTCCTGATACGCGCTCAGCTAAATCGCACGTAAAATGCAGGGTAACTGAGCGGGTTAATTAAAACGTACTTTTAAAAATTAAACCTGCCCAGTTGGCTGTAGTGTCTACTGTGATCCTTCACTTCCTTTCCTTTGTTTTCTGTTTCTGTTTGTTCTGTCTTATAGCCTTCACGTGACCTTTTGGCGTACAAGTGAACTTGTAAGCAAATCACACAAAACTTATATTCTTGATAACGGGAATATTTTAAAATGTTTAGCCAAATAACTTAATACAATAAAGTTTTTTAAACCATTGCTCTATAGGACTCTATTATGAACCTCCTAAAGCTTTTGGAGGCGGCGGTGTCGGTAGTATAGGCATTGGCGGTCAGTCTTGTATTTGGTGGCGGAGACTGGAATGTCCAGGAAAAGGTGCAAGATGCAACTCTGACACAATCTGTCCTGGACAAAGCATATGCTGCCTGCATTCTTGTGACATTGCCTACTGTACAACACCTCCACCCAGACACAAAGGTAATTGTAAAATGGTCCAGTGTACTATTCTTTGCTTTGTTATTCACGACACTGAGATGAGGTAATACGAGCTCAGTTCCGCCTTAGACAAACCCAAACCAGGCTCAGTAGATTATGAAAATGTATACCCAGCTTTCTCTTTGGGAGGTTGGCCGTTGTGCCAAACACTCAATGCCACGGTCTTGAGTAGATTGTAAAAGGACAGTGATTCACGGTTCAACGTTAGGCTACGCTAATTTGAGCCTCTTTGTGGGTACCTGTAAACGTCACTTTCGTCGCGCGCTTTTTATCAAATCGTTGGTTTTTTAACGTAATCGCCAATTGCGTGCCCGAGCAACCACGACGTTGAGGAAGGAGACGAGAAAATAAGAAATTCAACAGGTTTATTAAACAAACAACAACAACAAGAACAACAACAACAACAAAAATGCTGAAGGTGCAGCACACTTTTTGAGAGATTCCTTTTCTATCATCGCGCCACTAAGGTTGTCAAATCGGAATTGCAGTGGGCGAATCGTCGCTATAATCTATAAGGAAAATCTTCGTTTCGTCAATATCGATCTCCACGACCGCGATTTTGTCGGAAATACCCATAGAGAGGCTCTAATTTTAATACAGCTCGTGACTAACAGATGTTGAACACTGTATTCAGTGTATTTTTTTAACGCTTTCCATTCAACTAGCAATGGAAACGTCTCCCGATAGTTGCAATTTCAAACCCTTGGCGTAGTACTCCCTAAAGGCCTTGCTTTCTTAAAGGCTGCAATATAAGCCGCCTTCTCTATGCCTAATTTATTTCTTTACTTTGTTTGTCCGCAGACCCTTGCCAAAGTGCAAAATGTGCTCATGGAGAGGTTTGTGTTGTTGATGGCAACAGGGCCAGATGCTTATGCCCTCCACGGTGCGTCGATAAAAGTGTCAAACGTGTATGCGGAACTGATGGTATAACTTATAAGAATCTTTGCGAGTTGATGAGAACAGCTTGCATTATTGGGGATACAAAACTGACCAAGAAACAAGATGGCCGATGTGGCTCTAAGCCTCCCACGCAATCTCCTCAATCAACTCCTTCAGCGTCTCAACCCCCTCCCACCACAGGTAATCTTTGACTGTCATTTTTGGTCGCGCGTGAGACTGTGTCGATGTTGTGTAGAGCTGCATTATGGGTCTGTTTTGGGGACGCTACAGCTGTGCGAGGATGCGCTTGAAACTGGGTCAAAATTCGTTGAAGAAAACAGCCCCATGTAGTACAAAATGACGCAATGCCGACCCGGTCCCTTGTACACATTTAATATGGTCAATTACTCCGTCTCCCCTTGTTGTGGATTGCGCAAATATATTGAAGATATTTCTTTTATGATTTATTTTTGTGGCCCTGGTACGTAGAATTGTATGCCGTATTGCTATAGCAGCTAAAGGTTGACCAAAAAATCTTTACGAAAAGGCCTTTAAGAACCAGGCCGGACTAGTGAAGTGCTCCCAAATGCTTAGTAAGAACGTGTACCCCGGCATTTGTTCTCCGTAGCCTGGGTGTCAGACGTCGAAAGAGTAGGGCACTCCTACCCCTCCCCTTTTTGAGCTTGCCAAGTAGGCTAACTCAGCAGTAAATTGAACATGGCCCCATCGCCCAGAGGTCTCGTACTCAACTAATTAAGCAAACTTGTCGGCAGTTAGCCGATAGAACAGTATCAAACAAATACTCTGCTATGTCGCCCCTTTTGTCCTTCAAATCGCAGTAACATCACAACCGATTTTCAAAACTATTGTCGCTTAAGATAGTGTAAACGAAACTTTCAGTTTCAGTTCCTCCACCGCAGTCGACGTTGAAGGTGAGCCCACAACACCGAGCCAATCAGGAACTCATCGAAGGAAAAAGCGGCTCAATTTCATGTCAATTTGATGGAAATGTGCTGTTTTATCTTTGGACGCTGCCTAATGCAAATCCACTACCATCCCGTATGCGCGAAGCCGGAAACGTCCTACAGATTGACCGTGTATTCATAGAGGATAGTGGAGTATACTCGTGTATGGCAACAGGTGGAACTGGTGGCAGCGAAGTCGTTCGAGCCCAAGTTACTGTAACCGTCAAACCACAACGTGAGTAATGCACTAGTAACTAGAGTACATCAATCTCGATCCGACACCTCTAGTTTAAGCTAAGTAATGCAAGCGGTTAAAGCAATCTAAGTGTTCACTCTTAATATCGGCAGGTTCGTCCTTTCCTAACCACGAGTACTCTTCCTAGGATCAGTTGACAGGACTCGATGAATGAGCTTTAAAACGGCGACGCCTGCGTTATGTAATAGTTTGGTTCTATTTGAAACTCATTTTCGTACATTATACCTACCTTAAAAGGACAGAAGAAAAATAGCACCTAGGGTAGATTCGAACTGCAAAGAAACAGCCATCATAGATCGTGATATTTAAAGGTAAAGGAACAAAAGGTAGAATTAGAACCAAGGGTAAAATAAACCACAACAAGGACAGGAAACATTCGCATTAAAAAATTTTGAAGTTCACAGGGTTACTTAATTTAAATTCTGCCCGTTGGAACCCTGGTGGATCGTTTGAGCGTAAACCCACATTTCCACATATGCCATTCCAGGGACAAACCTTTGTGATGAGCCCCTGTCAGCCGGAAATTGTACAAATTACAAGGTTCGGTGGTATTTCAACAAGAACAACGGAGAGTGTGTTCCATTTTTGTACACTGGATGTGAAGGAAATTCAAACAACTTTTTCAGTAAGGACAAATGTGAATCAATGTGCAAGAGACAAGGTAAGATTTGTGTGACAGTATACCTCCAACTTATCCTTATCTCCAATAAAGCGTTTTCACTCACGTGGCCGGCAAATTTATGCTAATCTATGGAAATTTATCGGAACAAACGAATTGTTTAGAAAAGAGTTCAACTCCTACAGGATTGGTTTGGAACACCAACATGGCCGCTGTTTGTTTTTTTGGAACATCAATATAGCCACCGTGACGTCATTTCCATTCCCCAGATTGTCCATCTAAAAAACTTTCTGAAAAGAAAAACGCGCAGTATATTTAAATTTGAATGTACACTTCTTCCTCTTTTTTCTACACGACAGCATTTTCTATCAGTAAAAAAGGTTACTCTCAAAAAATGGGTCAATATGATGTTTAAGTACTTGAGGATATACAGTAATAAGTGAGAACGCATGGGCTGAGACCTATAAGGCTGAAAGAAAGTGTTTAAAATGCTGAAAGTGTGCTGCACTTTTAAAATTGTATTTTTTGACGTTTTCAATGCGGTTGCCGTCGTCTTTTCCGTAAGTATATCTCAATATGTATGAATATGTCTGTTTTTATTCTGATAGATGTTCCAGACAACAGGGTGTGTCCTGCTACAAAGTCCTCATCCACATGTGCACATCACAGCTCCAGTTCCGGTTGTTCGTCAAATGATGATTGTGTGGACGGAAAAAAGTGCTGCACAGTGGAGTGCTGTTCCGGAAGCTGTAGGAAAGAGTGCATCAAACCTGTTTTACCCGGTGAGATTTTCACACAAGTTGCAGTTTCCCGAGGTGTTGCAAACAGAACATTACGGAGGGTAGTCACTGGTGTTTTCGTTAAGACTTTTTTCCGCTCAGTCCCACACATTCATTTTGCACACATGTTTTGACTCTTTTCGTATTAACTACCGTATTTCTGTGACACGACGGTGAATGGCTGCGGCCGCACTTAGCAAGCACAATGCCCAGCCTACAATGATCTACAATGGTTTTCCCAACATCAAGGAGCACCGCGTTTTCTTTAAACTGGCCTATGACTCAGGGCAAATCGAAGGGGACTAACATCAAATTGTTGTTGCTCGTAATATCGGCAGTCGGAACTGTTCATAAATAGGATGGCTTAATTGAGTGCAATTTCACAATTGGTTTCGGTCCCATTAAATCCTTATACCCATTTTTGTCGGAACCTTTTAGAGCAGCTACCCACATTGTGATCAGTTTAATATTGACAGAGCAAATTAGTTAGGAACACAACCCTGTGCCCTGTTACAATAGACGCCCCTAGCTTTTCAGCCGAGTTGATATATAATTAGCGAGTACAAGTAAAGCTAGCCCAGGCAGAATATAACCTTGGAATAATGATGTTTAATTTTGCATGTGCCCTCTTCATATCAGACAAAATGGGTGTTTGTCCCGCTCCAGTTGAAGATAGATCAGACTGCAGTACAGAATGCTCCGTGGACCATGATTGTGATGGAGAGTTAAAGTGTTGCCAGCAGCCATGTGGACGAATATGTGTGGAACCAGATATGAAAGGTAAGTCAGTTAATTTTTGCATCTCTAATCAAAAAGACTGAAAAAGGCGACCTAGAAAAAAAGAATAAAACATCTGTTCTGGCTATGCGGGCGGGCGATTGAAAGTTACGTCAAGAGAAGTAGAAGAAGTAGAAGCTATGGAAGAAGTCAATAACTAGTTACTACTATGTTGCCTTACCTGAACTTACTTAAAGTCTGCTTACAAGTTACCTTCTTGCTCAAGTACCCAGCAGTTTGTCTGTCAGGCCATATGATTGCTATTAATTTTGTCGAGAGAAAATGCAGTAATTTGGAGAGGAATAGTCAATTTCTTCTTCTTCAGATTCACTCCAGAATCTTTGATGACAAGGTCACAAGGTCTTCAAAAAGAGAAAACGTCTGACCATTGCATGGAGGAAATCAAATTCCTCATGCACTACATCAGGTTTCAAAATGTCTGTAGAGAAACTGTCTCCAACTTTAGGCTTTGTTCACTCACTATACCTGATAGCTTTTGCGCCGGTACGACAACCGGATACTGGACAGGGCTTCTGTTCACACATATGAACGATGATTTAGGCGCGATTTCTGTAACGCGGCAAAGCTGCGTCGCGTTGGTCTCTTAAGTGGAGGGTGACATATCGGACAGGTGTTCATACTATAGAGGATTGCTTTTCGTGTTGGCACGAAAAACTATTCGGTATAGTGTAAACATGGGCTCACTGAAACACACTTTTGTCAAGTCTTTTGGTAACATTTACCTGATTGGCGCACTCAAGTAAATACGTCATTGAAATATTTCCAATGTTCCATTGTAAGCATCTCATTTATCTCTCTTTTCAGCAGAATTTTATTTTTATATCTTTTCCATTCGCAGGAGAAGCATGCAAAGCTGTGGTAGATGTAGCATTTTTGCTTGATTCATCGGGGAGCATCAGTCGGAGAAACTGGAAGTTGTTGCTTGACTTTCTCAGGGATTCAATTGAAGCATTCGACGTCACAGCCAGTGGATCTCACGTCGCCTCCATTTCATATTCATCTCGTGCAGTGGTGAATTTCAGATTCAACACTTTAACAGGAGACAAACTTACTTCAGCAGAACTTATTAAGGAGGTGGACAAAATAAAACACCAAAGGGGATACACATACATCGACAGAGCACTATTGCTTGCAGACAGGGAAATATTTACCGAAAGGGGTGGAATGAGGCAGGCAGTACGCAAGGTATTGTCGAGTTATGATTATTGAGACCCAGTGCTTGATATAACTCTGGGCTGTTTTCTTAGAACCGTCATTACTCGAGTACTCCAAGTTTGGCGAGAAGAGTTTGGCCGTGTCTTATCAATTAAAAGAAAGATATAGCACGTGGAAGAGCATTGGACAGTTTTTTGCCCTTAACTCAAGCCCTTTATTGAATGCTAGGCTTCCGTTGACTTTTTAAATCAAACATCCCTGCTTTTCTTATACACCCTATTCCAAATTGGTGGCAAATTTAGTTATACCTTTATGTTCGTGATAATTTGCACTTAACGCCTCTTTTCAAGGTAAAAGTTCTTTTGAGTTCTGCAGATGTAATCGAGGGAAAAATACGCTAATCACCGTAATTACGAAAGAAAAGTAAGATTATTGCAATTATTTTTCAACAAGGTTTATTGAGTTTTATGAAATGAAACTTCCAGCTACATCTGTAAATAGGGCCTTTCACTTGCGAGAGTGTTTGTCTCTGAGGTGCCAGCATCATTTAGAAAAGGCGGTCGGCGTTATAAAGAAAAGTCATCTCAAGTGGCCAACCGAGTCTAGCTTAGAGAAAAAAGCTTTCTTAGTATATGATATGGCCATCATACACCGGCCTATTTTTCATGTTGTATGGTCAATCCAATAGACACAAGCCATTTGACCCACGTTGATGAATGCAAGTTAGAATCATAAATCAAACCACAAACATGCTTTTGTCTTACCTATTCCACTTTAGGTTGCTTTTTTAATCACCGATGGCGTGCAAACGAAGAGTGGTAAGAAAGGACCCTACATTCCTCTGGTGAATGCGTCTCAGCCTCTGAAGGATAAAGGCGTAGATGTTTGGGCAATCGGAATTGGGAAACGCGTGAACGTCTCAGAGCTTCAAGTTGTAGCATCTGATCCTAAGAAAATTATTTTATTGTCATCGTTCAAGGAAATGAAATCCATTATAGAAGAATTAAAGAGAAAAGCTTGTAAAGGTACAGTGAAAGTTTACAGTAGGTGTTATTAACGTTTCCTAACATTGACGTGCTAGCTTGTTCAATATTAACAAATGGAGCTAATGGCTCTTGAAAAGTCATTTCTGCTCCTCTTTACCGCAAGTTTCATGGCTCCGATACTGCTGTTTTGACCTTGACGAACACTGGAGAAAAGAGCTGGACAATGATTTATCAGGATAATTGGGCTGGTCTTCTATGGATTTGTCAAAAGCTTTCGTTATGCTACCACAATTACTTTATTTAAAGATTACCTATCTGGTCGTCAAGAACCCGTGAAACTCGGGGTCACGTTCTCCTCTTGACAATCGATCACCAATGGAATTTCCCAGGGGTCAATGCTAGGACTGCTTTTATTAAAAAAATTTCTTGTATTATCCTCATTGCGCTATAGATCGTTTTCACTGTCACGCAACAAAAAATTAAATTGGAAACCATCCAGTGGAAGAAGCCAAGAAAATGACATACTATAAAAGACTAATATATAAACAATTTGTCCAAGTCTCAGGTCTTTGTGGTCCACAGTTTCTGAGTTATTTGCCGAAACGTTTCATGCACCTCTGTAGAGCTTTGTATGGAAACGCCATATTGGTGCACCGTTCTGGTGCACCAATATGGCCGCCGGAAATCAACAAAAACATCGGGAGTTCACTTTTTCTATAAAAGCTCTTTATTTTCACTCGAGGACTAGCATACGTATGCATAAACATGGCTTCTAATACTTGAAGTGGTTATACTGTTGAAAATCAAGAGGAGAGACACTTTTTCAACGAGACAGCATTCCTATTTTGGTGTCACGCACTGTGAAAACCCGAAGTTCAAATTGCTGTATTTCCGAAATGAAACATGCTACGGAAAGGGAAACTTGTACAAAGATTTACTTTTTGTTTATCTTCAACCTAGTGTAAATAAGAATTTGTAAAACCTCGCTATTTTGACTTTACAATTTCATGACGTCACAGTGAAAACCATCTATTAAGGGCAACACCCTGTCAAGCTAGTTTGCTGATGACACGCAAATATTTTATGCCGGAGATAATGGTATGGTAGTTGAAGAGAACATTCACCCACATCTTGGTAGGATATTGGAACGTGCAGGAAGAAATGAGGCTAAATCAAGCGAAGTACAAGAAAGTGGTGTTAGAAACGTGTGTTTAAACTTTGCGACAGTATTATTGCGAAATGAAAAGAAATTGTTCATTCACGCTAATAAACTGTTTTGTTTTGTTATGTTATTTTAAGCCGTAGTGTAACATTTTTCGATACGTCGATGATTCAGCTACTTGCTGACAACCACTTTTTTGTACAACAGAGGAAAAGGAAACCACCAAATGCCAGAAAGAATACTTAGCAGCTACGAAGAATCCTGTTCCTGGGCGTTTTGTTCCCAGATGCGACCTGGATGGTAGTTACGCTGATGTTCAATGCAGTGGATCTGTTTGTTATTGTGTGGACAAGGAGACGGGAGGAGAGGTCACCGGCACAAGGACATCCATTGAAACTGGCCGTCCAGTCTGCAAAGAACCANAACTTTGCGACAGTATTATTGCGAAATGAAAAGAAATTGTTCATTCACGCTAATAAACTGTTTTGTTTTGTTATGTTATTTTAAGCCGTAGTGTAACATTTTTCGATACGTCGATGATTCAGCTACTTGCTGACAACCACTTTTTTGTACAACAGAGGAAAAGGAAACCACCAAATGCCAGAAAGAATACTTAGCAGCTACGAAGAATCCTGTTCCTGGGCGTTTTGTTCCCAGATGCGACCTGGATGGTAGTTACGCTGATGTTCAATGCAGTGGATCTGTTTGTTATTGTGTGGACAAGGAGACGGGAGGAGAGGTCACCGGCACAAGGACATCCATTGAAACTGGCCGTCCAGTCTGCAAAGAACCATGTAAGCGTCTCATCTTTGCGCCCATGGCACATTCAGACGTTTTAACTCTCTCTGTGAATACCAGTGCTATATTGTTATGGTGATGGCGTAGTCAATAAGGAGCCACAATACCAGTCGAGTGTTTTCTGAGGCCTTTTAGTAGTGAGTGGTTCAAGCCATTGTCGGCGAAGGAAATTCAAAGGGACCTAACTGGGCTCGGTCTCCATATAATCGCCACGATCATATGGAAACCAACCTTAAATAACATGCAATCGAGGCTACTAATGCCTCGTAATTCGTCCCTTGAAGAATTTTAGAACTACCTTAATTAATCTTTTAAAAAATTATGTTTATTATATTTTTTGTTACATGTAATGTTTACTTTCATATTTTGTAAGTGGTTGGTGTGTTGCCTTATCGGCTTTTACCAACCTAATCGTGATGATGATGAAAATGCTTAGCGTTCAGGAAAGAAAGGTACTTTTGATTGCCGCACGAGGTATTTGCTAATTTGTTATGCTTATTTTCTCTTTATCGGCAGATAAACTAACACCATGTCAAGAGGCACACAAAGAAGCAGTTCAAAACCCAAAGGTTGGAGCGTACATTCCAAGGTGCAAAGATGATGGCGCCTTTGAAAGTATTCAGTGCGAAGGAGGTAGCGGGCATTGCTGGTGTGTGGATCAGAATGGAAACGAAATACAAGGAACAAGAACAACGAAGAATCTCCAATGTCCTGATCCAGGTTTGATCATAAATTGCGTGATGTAAAATGGATTTCTATGCGTTGTTTGGTTGTATCGACTCTCCAGGAGTCTTTATATGCCCGAATATGTACTATAAGGTGATGATTGTGGAGTTGATAGTTTTTACATAGCTGTGATGTGAGGACTTGTAGTCAATCACTTTGTGCATTTGACATCAATAGTTAAGAGAACATTTATAGCGGAGCTCTCGCGCTCGCGCGCGCCAGCAGAGCACCATGGGTAAGTAAATATACCCATCCCAGAAAATTTTGTAATCATGTGACCGTACACCGACCGCCGATCCGTCCGTCCGCACCACAGGCATATCAATGTAAAATAACTCAATCAACAGGTATGGCAGCCCGAATGCAACTCGAGACTATTTTGGCGGGAAATCGCAAAGCCATCTGCGTCTTGTACAGCGGAAATTGTTTCTGTATTCGTGTTGTCTAAAGTATTAAGCTTAGATTAATTGTCATGACCACAAATTTGGAAAACAGAGCAGGAGAAAAACGGAGAAAAAGGGAAAGTAGGCGGCAGGCCGGCCAAGCTCAAAGAGAAAAAGGGCGACAGAGATCTAGAGCGAGAGATAAAAAAACAAAGGAGACACTTTTTTCTTGGAAGGACAACATGAAAATTTTGTAGCGGCAATGACAGAATGAGAAATGCTAGCGGCACCAATGCAAGGTGAAAATGAGCGGCAGTGAAAAAAAAGTGAACGACAGCACGTATGACATTTCCCCCAAACAACGTGTAAACGTCTAAGAAGTTTGTGAAAGTTTCACGTTGTAGTCGTGCAAAACAAAGGCAAAGAAATGTACAAAAAAAGTGTGCTGCACGTGCAAAGTTGCTTTTTTGCTAATTAGACCTATTGTTGTTTTTCACTGTTCTGCGGCGTTGCATTCGCCGCTTAGCATAACACGATTTTATATTTCGTTTGAACAAACTTTTAATATTATCGAGAGCTTCGCTTTTAGCCCTGGCTAAATCTATATATTATCTTATATTTTTCCACAGCCACTCAACCTAACTACACTGACTGCCAAAGACGTTACATTGAACGTTCTAAGAATTCAGTATCTGGACAATACATCCCCTGGTGCCGTCCTGACGGTGGCTACTACTTGCGACAGTGCTATGATTCTTACTGCTTTTGTGTGGACACAAGTGGAAGAGAGATCACTAAAACTCGCGTCCATAGCAGTAACGGGGTGCCGAAATGCTCAGAGAATGGTAAGGGATGTATGGTATACAATATCTGTATATTCTAAACCTACGTATACTTCCTTAACTAGACAATTTACCTTGGTGTGGGTGTAGAAGGACCATGCTTAATTGCAGTTTCGTAACCCTATTGTAGTCCAGATCCTAAGGCTGCTGCGATCTT